AGTCAATCCAAGCACGCAAACTCTTAGCCACATAAGAAGTCCTACCGACATCAGGAGGAACAAGCCATGAATGAGGAGCTGCAAACCAGACTCTAGATTATAAAAAGATCCCTAACACTTGCAAATGCCCAATCATACCAACAGCAAACCTTAGAGCCTCACAGCTGCTTCATGGCAAATTGACATGTCAGAGGAGCTTCAAGAAAAAAAAAAAAAAAAAAAAGTGCTCTAGAGTCGCTACCAGGCAACAGAAACTTTAAAAACAGCATTGCACTGAGTGCCAGCTCTGTGTAGCACCACTGCCCACAGGATATATAATTTCTCCTTCTTCTGCAGGGAACGAGTAGGATGGGAACAACTGTTCCTGTTTTGTCGGATCTCACTCTGAGATTTCCTCCATCTGATAGAGCTCTGCAAATGCAGAGGAGGCCAGGGAATCCCTTTACTATCTCCAACCCACGGCCGCATGGGAAAAAAAAATGGCTACAGGTTTCTACTGCGTCTCTTAAGGAGAAGCTTATTAGTAACAACAGAAAGGACTGAGATAAACGCCAAGACAATGCAGTTCACAATAAGGAAATACGATCATTTGCATTCCATAAATGTGGATGTCTTCAAAAATAACTGCTACAGAAGAACTGCATTTCTTGGGCTCATGCTTGCAGACAGGCTGATCCCAAGGGTAGTGGGATGATGGAAACGCTAATAGAAAAATGCCCCATGCTTTCTTAGGATTATATCCTAAAAGCAACAAAATGAGACCTCCTGCAGCTGGACATCTCCAACATTGTTCTGAAGGCGGTATTCCCATACTGCCACTGCACCATTTTTCTAGTTAATTTTCAACTTATACTAAAAAAGAACTTTTTGTGTGGAAATATCCATAAAACACACTAAAAATTTGTTTTAAAGTGAGCAAAGAACAGTTTCTATTTTATTACATTAAATATTTATCAGTTTTCAAGCTGATGGTGTAACTGCAAACAGGGAGATTTCAACAGCTCTTTTTCTTTTGCCTAGTATAGCTTTTAAACAGTAAAATATACCCAGTCCAACTGTCAAGCTCCAGAAACCATTCTCCCCTAAGCCTGAACTTTTTTATTAGAAAACATCATTTTGCTTGTCAACATCCAAAAATCTAAGCTAAAAAAGACTGAATTAAGGTGGCATTTCACAACAACAATCTTTTTCTGTAATTTATTACCAGCAACATACCGGGTATGCACGCAGATGGCTTTAGCCTCCAGTAGATCAGAGATCCAGAAGGTCTGAGACAAGAAGATAGGACATGACTTACTGTTTGTCTTCTTCCACTAAGCTCAAAATATAGTTGTGCAATTCTTTTAAAGAAATATGTCAAGAAAAATGATTATTCCAGTTAAATACTACTTCAAATGTACCTGAATCGTAATGGATAGAAGTAGAAAAAAAAAAAACCCACCTCCAATAAGCTCAGCACTTTATTTTCCACAGGACAGAAATGTTTTCCAGGTCGTTATTCCGAGTTTTCTGTTTCACTGAGCTACCTTAATCGGTTTGCTGTGCATCAGTTGACAGCGCTGCACATTAATAACAACTGCCAGCAGCAGTTGGGCGGTCAGATTTATGCCTCCATCACCCCAAAGTAGTCAGGAGGAAGGGAAGCCGCTTTCTTGTCTCTTACAGCAACTGCCTAGAGGGAGAAGAATTAAGCACTTCGGACAGAGCCCCAAGATTAGTACCTGTATTAACCCACGCGGAAGAT